CTTGGGCGGCGGGTCATTGTAGGAGACGCTGGTCTCTTCGCCACTGCTGCTCTCCGGATGGCCCGTCACCTCCTCATAGGAAGGGGGAGGGGTGGCACTGGACAGTCTGGAGAGGACAGAGACTGAATGCTCTGGCGGGTAGAGGGTGCTGTCTTGCTGGGGCATGCCCGCAGCTCTGCCGTCTCCAGCCATGCGGTTGCTCGCTTCTCGCTGATACTGGGTTTCCCCTTGGCTTTGCGACCGCTCCCGATACACCATGACCCTGGGGAGGCTGCGTCCCGTTCGGCTGCCCAGGTAACGGTTCTGGGCATAGGAAGGGCGGTGGCGGGTGGCCTTTTGAAGCTGGCACCTCCAGATGATGAAGAGGGCGATGACTATCAGAAGAGCCACTCCCAAGAGGGGCACCACCACGTACATAGCGTCTGAGCGCTCTGTACTGTGCCCAGGGTCCTTGACAGAGTAGACCGAGTTGGTGTAGCCCTTCCAAAACTCCATCTGTGGCAGGAACAGAGAAGCAACCATCATGTGCTGCAGGTGGGACAAGCACCCCCTGACCACCACGAGCAATAATCACTGCCCTCCCTAGGCCCACAAAAGAGGCAGTTTTTCGGCCATCCCCCACCACTCTTACCAGGGTGGCCAGCATCTGAGCCGCTGTGGGAACCAATAAAAAAGATCATGGGAACATCCCTCAACAGCGGCCAACAGCCCCCACACCAAGCAGGGAGAAATTTGGCTAACACCAACCCCAGCCTGGAGAGTCAGGGACAACAGCACAAATTTCCCACACATGCCATGGGAGTGCCAGCTCAACCTGCAGCTGTGGACAGGGTGTCTTGGCAATATCAAAGTGAGGGCGTTGCCTGGGAAGGGAAAGTCATGCTGGAAAACGAGGACACAGCATGCTGACTGCAGACAGAACAGGACAAAGGAAACAGGAGAGGCTGTTCCCCCTGTGCTTTCTTTCTCTGCCCCCAGCTTGCTAAGGCGTAAGCCCTCACGCATCCACTGGGGAGCAGGGCAGGACAAACGCACCGTCTTCTCCTTGTTCTCGAACACTTCCTTGACCTCCTCATAGCTGCAGACCTCCTCAATGCACTCCCGCTCGATGGTGCCCTGCCGGATCTCCTCCAGGAGCATTCCTGGCCCCCAAGAACACTGCAACACATAAGGCAGAGACATGCTGAGCAGGGACAATCCCACACTTGGCCTCTGCCCAGCCAGCCTTTCCCACCTGGCTTCCCACAGGATTTTGGTGATACAGGCATCCCAAACACCAAAAGCCCAGGGCTACAATTCAGTTAGCACAGCACAGTGCCCGCTGAGGGGTGAGCACATCCAAGGCACAAGGCTCTTGGGGTCTGCCCGGAGACATTCGGCACCAGGAGCATCCTTTCAGCAGGGCTGAGATGATAAAGACATCGGAAGCGGCAGCTGCAGACCACACATGGCAGCTGAAGAAGAGACAGAAGGCTCCAAAAAGACTTGTTTTCAACCTCCTGCCCTTGACAGGATTTCACCTTGCTGCCCCTCTGCTGCAGGACAAGGGAGATCCCACCAGGCGAGCAAGACCCCGCAGGGCTGGGACGCAGAGCCAGACCTCTCTGCCAAGCCATGGGGCCAGCACCGAGATGGACTCTCAACACATAGTGCATCATTCCACAGTCCCCCCGTGCATCACCCCAAGGCCTCCTCTCTTGCTTCACACCTCCACAGCCTCCCAGGAGGAGAGCAGACAGTCTGCTGGAAGCTGGTGTCCCTGCTGCTCTGGGGTCATGCAAGCTCAGGTGGCTTCAGGGATTCTCTTCGGTTCCCAGAGAAACCACTGTGTCTTCTCCCAGGACCAGGCCCAACAAGGGCAAACAGTCCCAACATACAGGGACAGCACAGGGGGTCATGAGTCAGATACTGAAAGGGGCCTGAGCAACATTTCCTCATATGGCATCACATTCCCATCCCTACTGCATTTTAGTGCAGAGGCCTCACAAAGCTGCCTCTGCTCCCAAAGCCTGGGAGACTCTATGTTGCCCACATCAGATCTTCCCACAGAGCATGCAGTCAGGAAGCCAGACTGAGCAGGAACAGCACCTTCCTGCCTGCAAGAGACACAGCCCTTTCAAAGCCTCTCCCCCCATATCCTGCAGGAGGGAGACCTCCATGGGGTGCAGGGAGCAAGTACCTACCAGGACCTGCAGCAGCACAGGAGAGGCAAATGAATTGTTGCCCAGAAAGCAGAAACTCCACACAAACCACAACCCTTCCAGGATCCAAACATCCCATGCAGCATTTCATAAGAGAGTGCTTCTGTAATGCAGCTCAACACACTCAGCTGTAGGCTGGCACCATCTCTTCCCACCAAGCCACATAATTGTGCTGCTTCCCTTGAGGAAGATGAATCGGTTCAGCTGGCTGATCCGCAGAAATTACCTCCTTCACCCTCAGGCTCAGTCTTCCATTGGATCAACCAGATGAACCAACTTACACTGCAGCAACATCAACAGATGCAGGACGAGGAGGCAAGGGGACAGCCACAGAGTCACCCATTAGACCAGCTTGGCTGTAACACAGAAATACTCCTTCAATAAGGAGCTTGGTGAAGATCAAACGTAACAGTGAAAAGCTACCAACTTCCTTCATGAAGAGCCTTCTACCAGAGAGACCGGCAAGTTTAATTCTGCTTTACCTTCCAAGTATCCTGCTCCTAAAACAATATAGCAAGGTATCTGTGAGAGTATTTGTAAATATCAAGGCAGGAACAAGATCATGGCGTAAGCAACTACTACTGCGCTACACCACCCCGTGCTTGGAGGCACTGTGCTCTTTTTGTGCTGTGTAGGTGCATTTTCCCCCTGTGATTTATTAATGGCTTGCTTCAGTGAGAGAGTTTCCAGAAGGCTGAACCACTGAGGTGTGAATGAAGAACAGCATGAATGATGTGAGTCAGAGACCTTCCCTCAGAATCGACTTTATTACACAAACCATTTTTTTTTTTTTTTTTTTTTTTTTTTTACAAGGACAACTGGAAAAGCATTTTCAAGAGGCACAGAAGGCATCTTGCAGGAGGGCAGGGATCAGTTTGCCTTGGCTTTCGCAGTTGAGGAGAGCTATCCTGGCTGGAGAGGGAGCAGGTTGGCAGGCCGACCTCCTCTTGAGCCTTTCCAGAATGAGACGAAACTTTACAAAGATACCATCCATTCCACAAACGTCCCATCCTTTGCTGGAGAAGTCTGGCCTCACCTCCTTTGCCTCCCGTCTTGATCAGGCTGTGGTATTAACTCTCCCCGCCTCAGCACTGGAGTCTGAGCTTCTTTCCAACTTCCTCAGCACACCTTGGAGCAACAAGCTTGGCCACAGATCTCACCATCAGGGTTTTCCATCCCTGCAGATACCAGTCACCCTGCTTTGCCGTGCTGAACTGGCCACTATGGTGGGAAATAAAAACAGACACACAGGCAGGCAGGTATCATGAGCAATGTCCCGAATGAAGGCATGCTGCGACGGAGGTGTGTGCCTCTCCCCACATCCAATTTCCCTCAGGGACCTAGAAATGGCAGAAGAGCAGAAACTAAGTCACTGCTCCCTCCCCTCTTTTACATGGAAAGTGCAAAGAGCTCCCATGTGCCTAGGGACCAGGAAAACCAATGACCTTCAGGAAACAAGAGCCTCTCTCATCTCCAGCCTGGATCCCCAACTGACAGGCAGAGCAGAGAGCTGAGCAGGTATTGTCCCCAAACCGCAGGGCAGAGGGGACTTCCCAAGGCCCAGCAGCCTCAGTACTGACCCCTTGTGCCTCTCCAAGTCTCCCCACACCAGCTGGAGAACCGGTGCTCAGGAAAGATCAGAGCTTTAGGCAGGGGGAGCAGGAGGGCTGGGTTCACTGCATCCCTGCCGGGTTTCCTGAGGTGCTGCTGGCCCCTGGTGGCAGGCAGGCTTGGCCATACCGCTACCCCACTGCTGCCCGGCTGCTTCTCTGCAGAATGACATGCGGCTGTGTCTGCGGAGGGACAGCCAGGGCTGCACGCTGCCGGAGAGCGCATGATGGTGAACATGCTGACCACCACACCCCCCTCCTGCACGTCAGGGTCACCACAAAGGGGACTGCTTGGCGGGAGACACTGACAACAGGGGATACCTCCCACAACCAGTAAGGGCTGGTGAGCCAGCACCTGAGCTCTAGGAGGGAGAAAAGACAGCAGTGGAGGAAGGCAGGGACCGAGCTGGGTACCCTCCTCATTAACAGAAGATTAAAACTGCCTTTTAAAAATACTGCCTGAAGATCTCTGCTCCCTCCCCCACCTAGCACAGCACAGATAATGAAAGAAGGCATACCTGTTATCTCTGGAGTCCTCCTCCTGCCCAGCATGGCTACTGCCTCCACCCTTCACAGCTGGCTCCAGCAACACCCTGAGCAAATCCCGCGATCCCAGCCAGATCTCTACATCTCCCTGTTCACAACTGCCGTCCTCCTTGAGCTCCCATCACATCGCTGCATGCAGCCTCCACGCAGGCTGCCCAGAAGAGCGAGGAGGGAGGGTTGAGTCCAGCTCTTACAGACCACATGCCATCCTCCACCCTGCACCCTCGCCAGTCTCAGCCCAGCTTTAGCCACTGGCCCTGAGCAGCCCCATCTGCCAGGCACTCCTTCAGACGCCAAGATGCAGCAAGCTCCCGGTGGGGCTGAGTTGGGCAGCTGCCTATCCACTGGGAATGCAAAGCCCCAGTGCCACCAGCCACACAGGCTATAGGGCAGTGTGGCCCCCAGGACGGGCAGCTCACGGGATGCCAGTCATGGGCCATGAGGAGCACCGTTGCTAGGAGATGTCAGCGCAGACCAGCAACCTCTGCAGAGGGGCCAGTCAGTCCAAAGAGCCTCAGGGAGGCCTGCCTTGCACAGCAAGCATCACGCAGATAAAGAAATGCTGCAGCATACGGGGAGTCCCAGAGAGGTCAGCCCTTCAGCATCTCCTCTTGACTCCCACCTTGCACAGGGGAGAGAGAAGCACAAGTCAGGCTGGACCTCAGACCTCATCCAGGGAAAACAGCCGATGGCATCTGCTCCCCACAGAGAGTAATACCCCCCAAAAAGCACAGGCACCCCTTCCTTGAGAGGTGACTGCCAAACATCCCCCTTCTCTCCTCCAACACCACCGCCACTTCTCCGTCTTGACTGGGGAACACTTACTTGCCATGCTGCCTCACTCGGCTACAGGGGGCTCCTGCCTACCTGCAGGGAAGAAAACAGGAGAGTCACTGACAGCTTAAATTTCACCCCCTTAAACCCAAGACCTCCATCGCCCAAGGTCAGATTCATGCAGAAAGCAGGGTGCTGTCCAGTGGACCCACAACAGTTCCCAGCCAAGCAGTGCCTCTTCAGAGAGCCAACGACTCATGCTCCCTCCCCACTCATCGCATGGCTGGAAGGACTGGAGGGGCTCAGGGCACCCTCAGCTCTCTGAGAGCCTGGAGCAGGTCTCTGCCATACTTGTGCTGCACCAGCCCGGGGAGGGCCAGGGCCCTGCCCAAGAAGCCCAGAGGGCTGCAGACAAGCAAAGTAGGAAGGGAAGAACTGGATGGAGAGTCCCCATATCTCATCAGCAGACAAGATGACTTGTGTGTTAGAAGCTGCTGGGAACAGCCTGGTGCTCTTCCCTTCCACAAGAGATTGATGGATACAGGTAAAGCAGTCATCCTGTTTTAAATCAACTTCACAGCCATGCCAGTTCTCACTTCTGCAACTCCTACCCACAACCTGCAATAAACAGGGCCATACTGTTTTCTCCACTGCCATAAAGCTGACTACACAGCAGGACAAGAAAAGAATATGCATCTCCTAAAGGTTGTTGGGCCAAGCTAAGGGCAGCAGCAAGCGTGACAGAGCTCCCTGCATACCCAGGACAACAGCTCTCCAGCTGGAAAAGCACCTTTTGTGCTTCAAAAGCAAAACTAAACTAAACGAAACCCCACAAGAGTGAAACGAAGTCCTGCAGAAGCAGAGTATATCCCTCTCTGCTCGCAGGAAGAGTTTCACTCAGTTGTTTCTCACGCTTTGTCTTCTCCCTGTGCTCGATCCCCACTGATCAGACTACCCTGGGCACACTCATCTCCTCTCACCTTGTGCAACATCTTGCTGCGGCAAAGCCACAACTCTGTCAGGAGAC